TTTCGGTGCGCCTGGCTCTGTATGTCTCTGTATGTGCCTGTATATCTATCTATATCTATCTATATATATATGTATATAAACAACGAAAACCAAAAGGCAAAAAGTGGGGGAGAGTGTGCGAGAATATAAGAGAGAAAGAAAGAGCGGGATCGTTTGTGTTTGTTAGTCTATCTGACTTTCACCGCCAGAGAGAGAAAGCGTTATATAGAGGTATCTGGGCGTACCTTCTTTTTCTCTTTTTAGATATATATATATATATATATTTTTCTCAATATTTTTCTTTTTTTTATATATAAACACATACAGACACATACAAATTCTTTTTTTTTTTTTTTTTTTTTTTTTTTTTTTAATTTTTTTATATTTTTATTTATTTTTATTTATTTTAATTTTTAAAAAATATAAAAAAAAATAAGAAAAAACACACCCCAACACATATAGAAACCAATACATAACTACGAGCAAATATATGCCCAACACACCCCCCCACCCACCCACCCCCACACACCAAATATCTCTACATCAAAAAAACAATAAATAAATAAAAATCACACAATCTTTTACTCTCACACACTCATATATATATATATATATATATATCCCATCCTTACTTATATATATATATATATATATATATATATATATATATATATATATATATATATATATATATATATATATATATATATATATATATATATATATATAAATAAATAGAGCAGAAAATGAAATATGACAAGATATAATAATGTACCCTTTTATTTTAGCTCTCAAAGCTGCAATCGTCTCGATCGAAGTGGAAAAATCGACAGCAAACTCCACAGCATCGCCCATCATTTCTGGGCTCCGATTGAAATTGCTGATCGGTTTTATCGCCAAAACCGAATTAGGATAGTACACCTTCTCGTTATCCGGTTTTAGAAATATCGTGGTCAAAATATTCATTTCCTCCACTATCATCTGCAAAAAAAAAAAATTAAAAAAATCAAGAATTGAAAAATAAACGAAGGAGAAAAAAAGGGTTTCGATAAAGACCCCCAGATGTTTATTTATTATGTACCTGCACACCGTCAATGACGCATCGATCCCCAACATCGAACGGGTGCACCACGAATACAAATATCATGGCTTCGAATACCATTTTCACCGTGTTTCCAAACATAAAAACTACTAACAAAAGTTGGGAAAAAATAAAAATCAAGACTTTGGTGGTAGTGATCTCCATTAAAAGCAACCATACTATAGCTATCACGAGCAATATTAATCCCGAGGCGATCTTGTTAAGTTCCTCCACTGCTGTTTTAGCGTCGCTTAACGACACTGCAAGGCATTTTCTCTCGTTGTACGCCTTTACCTACACAAATCAAATCCAAATTTATTGAACTTCAATTCTTACGGAACAAGCGTAAATCAATTTTTAACGAACAAACTCAGCAAATAATATTTGCTGTTATTACTAATATTAATCAATTTACTCATCAAACAATATATATAAACCACGTGGAAATGTACGTTTCTTGTACTAGTTAACGTAAACGAGACAAAAAGTAAAGATTTTTTTACCACCCAATTTCTGAAAGATGACTTCTTGATTTGTCTCGATTCTGCAGCTCCTTCAAACAGAGGAATCGCATTATCAACTTCTTCTTTCGGCATGAAAAGCAGAAGATCTTCTTCTTCAATATACCTAACACAGCATGTAAACATAAACATATGCAGACAAGCTAAAAAAAAAATCAGGTTCGGTTAGTCAGACGTGTAATATAAATTCTTACTTGCGACCATGTTTTGCGACGTTCCTAAATATTCTATTCGCAGCATCTCTTGCTTCGACTTCACTCGTAATAACTTTCGGCTCGCCCGATTCTTCCTCGACGCTGTCATCAAGAACCTCAGAAATAGTCGACAATTCCGAATTCCTAATAACCTTAATCAACCCTCCCATTGTCCAAGCCGAAACTTTCTCTCTCTTCATTTTATAAAGCTTATCCACATTAATCACCTCCCCCTTTTTCTCATCCTTTCCGATTTTCCCTTTCTTGAAACTCAACCGCCCGCTGCTAATTCTAGAACCTTCATTACCCAAATCGCCCTCCACCATAGGCGGGCCCGACAGTGCCTGAAGAATGTACTGATGAAAATCGATTCTTGGATTCGGTCAAAGTATGTCCTAACGTGATAAGACGAAGCCACTATTTTGACCAATAGAGTCTTCAACATCCACATAACCGCCCCGACGAGCGTGGACACAATGCCTCGAGTTATGTAGTTTAGAATCTTGGAGGTTTTTTTGGTTCTTTTAACCCCTCGATTAATCAACAGAACCCATGCCACAAGGATAAAGATCAACCAAACTACGACACGAACGCTCTTTTTCAATCCGTATAGAAAGTACAAGACCTTCTTCTTGAGAAGGAAGTTCTTCTCGATCAAGAAAACGAACACGTTGGTCAACCATCCGGTAAACAGACGGCCGCAGAAGATCACCAACGCCAACACACACCATTTCCACAAATTCAAACCCCAAATGAGGGTATGGTTTTTCAATTTCCCAACGGTTAAACTCGAAATCAAGAGAGCCGTTATGCTGATAAATACAATCCACTCGATCACAACCAATGCTTTCACTTTCTTACCTCGCTTTACTTTATCGAGCTTGATGTTTTCGGTATTGTACACGTCATCATCATCGTCGTCATCGTCGTTGTCAACGGAAGCCATTAAAGGGGTTCTTGGTGTGATCGGAACGGATGTTTTCGGAGTACCGGGGTTAGTCGTCGGAGACTTCGCAGGGGCATTTTGGGAATTTTCCTCGGTTGGCTTGGAGCTGCCCGGAAATGGAGGCTCGGCGATTCTCGACTTGAGCTTGGAGTAAGCTGATGTTGTCGTCGAGGTCCGCGCCGTATGGTGGGCACGATCGGCGGTTTTGCGGAGGGTCAGGGGCAACAAGAGCTGGGACCAACAGCTGCGCCGCCGCCGGTGGAGGCGGCGGCGGAGCTGACCTAGGGATCACCACCGGGGCGGAAGTGCTTGCGAACAAGTTCATTTTCATCTCCACGGTTGAGGAATCGTCCTTGGATTCGGCGCCGCCATTTTCTTCAGAGCCCGGAATCTGAATATCCACAACGACGTCGTAATTGCCGCCTTTATCCCTCAGAGATATATCGCTCTCCATGGGGGAGAACTCAGTACGAAGCTACAGTAGAGAGAGAGAAGAAAAAAAAAACGAAATCTTGAATTAGAAATTGAAATGGCAAAAAAAGTAAAATTCTTCGTGTATGAAGATAAAAATTACCTGCTGGGGTTTGAAGTTCTAGCTATGGCGGACTTCAAATCGAAGAATTCGAGTGAAAGCGGATTGGAGGAACAGTGCATATATATATATATATATACACACACACACACACAAATGTAAGTGGGGCGCAGCTTCGAACTACGAGTCTACGAATAATGTATTCAAAGAATTAAAGGGCGGGTGGGAAATGCATAATTTAATTTCCACGTGGAAATTATGCATTACTGAAAGGGTAAAAATGTAAAAACAATCTAGAAGAGTTTGACGAAAATGGTGAAATTGTCAGTCTACAAAACTTGACCAATGGAAGAGACAAAGATCTTTCCTTTTTTTGGGATTATGTTATGTTATTTATGTACTTATGTACTTAAGATCGATCAAGATTACAATAAAATTTCCATTAGTATTATATATAAACATTATTATATAAATTATAAAGTGAAATTCTTTGTAATAGTAAGTATTAAATGTTAAATTTGAAGCATAATATTATTAATTGACTTAAACATTCACATTTTGGCTCGATTTGATTTATTTAAAACCTCAACCTGAAAATTGAAACTCGAAATCCGAAAAAGTCGAAACACGAAATTATAAAAGAATACGAATGTTTTTTTTTTCTCATAAATAATTATTATTAAAATATAAAAGAAAGTGTGTTATGGGGGATGCCACAACTGGTTATAAGGTTTATAGATAGGATTGCATTATTTGCTAAAAAAATCCAAAGAAAAAAACAACTCACTATTACTCATTCTTACATTGAATAAAACAAAATAAAAAATAAAAAATAAAAAAATAAAAAGCAAGTTGCATATAATTATAAACTGGTCTAATTCATTTCCAGTTGACATGAGAAAAATCAAATTGTTCCTTTTTCTTATAAATTCATTTTTCAATAAAACAAGAGCCCAATTTGCGCCGCCCTGAAAGACTATTCGGCTTGGCCATGAGCAATTTGTTGTTTTTTATTCCATAAATTAATTGACCAATATTTAGATACAAAATTAAAATAGTAATAATTAATATATACAATAAGAGCAACTCCAATGGGTTATCAAACATGGTATTCAAACCATTAACCACCATTTACATACTAAAAAATAGATATTTTTAACTCCAATGGGGTTATCAAACGAGGGTTCTATTTTGATAATTCCCCTCTTTGTATGTAAATTTACTTGCTGGAAATTGAGTTATCAAAAATGTAACTATCTGAAGATCCAATCAGAAGTTGACATGTGACGATTACAAATAAAATCACCCTTAAACTTCCAATTGATAATTGATTTTGATAACCCTGGTTGGATTTGATAAATTTTAATCAATATTTAAATATTATCTCAGATATCAAATGAATATTTGATAATTCAATTTTGATATTTTGGGTTTCGGGTTTCGGGTTTGGATTTGATGCTGACGGTCGAAATCATCAGTCAAAAATCCGAAAACTATAAATAATTCATCCGTAAACTGATGATTTCGACCGTCAGCATCAGTTAACTTGGAACGATGCAATGACAAGAATGCCCTTATTATATGTGAACAAATTAGCAGACGATTATTAATATTTAGGCAATAAACAAACATGCAATGATAATATAACAAAGACATGTCCCAGTGTTATCCACATTATCTGTACTATATTTGTGAAAGCAATTTGGCATATTCTCCCCACTATTATCAACAATTTTGGACATATATATATATATATATAAAACAAAATACATCTTATTATTTTTCAACAAAAAGATTTCTTAAGCATATATCAAATCAAAGGACCATAATTTAATTGTGCCGCAGCTACCTGCAACCAAAAAAAGCATTTCATAACTATAAGAGAACTAAATTCACACACACACACACACACACACACACACACACACACACACACACACAGAGAGGGGTTATCTTAATCCAATCCTCTCTCACTCAACCTTGTTCATATTGTATAATCAATAATGTAACTTTTGTCTTGTTTACCTTATCCTCATTGTCTATACTTCCAATATTAGCACCCCATAATAGTACCAAACACAACTGCATAAACTTCTCCTTCACTGCATAAATCACTCGAAAAAATCACAACAAACTCCGCCCTTCTTCCCCTCCAAAAGAAACACCGCCACCACCCGCCATGGGAGACCCTCCGAGCCCCTATGCACCACCACCACCTCCACCACCAAGACAAAACCTACCCATGCTATACTACGGCCTCGTAATCATCTGTACAGCGGCAATTATCCTCGCTCTCTACAATCTCGTCATAGTCCAGTGGTGCACAGACATGACCAACCGTGGGTCCCGACAGAGGCGGGCGGGCGGCCCCACCTCCAGCTGGCGGTTTCGTAACTCGAGCGTAAACCCTGTTCCCAGTTTCAAGTACAAGAGAGAAGATGCAGAAGGTGGGGATACTGAATGTGCAGTTTGCTTATCAGTTTTCGAAGAAGGTGAAGAACTAAGGCAAATGCCGAAGTGCAAGCACAACTTTCATGCTCCTTGTATTGACATGTGGCTGTATTCCCACATGGACTGTCCCCTTTGTCGTTCTCCGGTGGGTCCGCCGGGTCCCGTTCTCCACTAATCGGAGCATTCTCATCTAGGTGCAGGCACATTGGTTTAGAATAAACTAATCCCTTTTCGATCAACCGGTGTCATTGTGTATATAAACAATATTCTTTTGTCAATATTACGGTTTATGCAAACATGGCATGAATTCTGATGAAAGCTGATTTGTCAGAATTCTTATAGTAAATTGTTCGATCTAAAATTCGATTGTTTCTAGTTCAAAAATTTTAGTCTTGACTTCGCTTTTGTTTCTAGCAAATTTACACATGACATTCGAAAACCCAATTACCTAAATATTTAAAAATCGATGATCTATGTTTGGAGTATGTTAGTTTTATAAGGTGTATCCAATTCAACTTCATGTCAAATTAGCTCTCAAGCAGTTATGAACTTGTAGATTCAAGAAGAATCCAAATCTTATACATGCAGTGGCATAAACACAAGATATCTCGCATTAATAGCAAATCTCATTGATTAAATTAAGCTGTACCAAACCACGTAATTTTTAAGTATTTTCGCAAATGTTACAAAGCCACACAACATAAGTCTGGTCGCACCAGAAGAATATATATTACATGTCAATTACATCTTCCTCAAATTGTCTAACCTGGCCTGGAGATCACTGTCTATCCCACCACCGTCATTTCCAGTCGCCTCAGCCTGTGGAGCCTTATTCTTGTCAGCTGGTGCAGCTACAGCCGAGGAAGGTGCGTTAACAAGCTGCAATAAGAGAAAACCGTGAATTCATCGACGAATATTTTATGTGTATATAAATACCCAATTGAAGAAAAACAAATGACTATATCTATATATATATATATATACCTCTGAGTTAATGGTGATGCCAATCTCATCAAGAACCTGACTGACCAACTCTTCGGTCTCTTCTTCTTCCTCGTCTCCTTCCAAAGCATCGTCAATGGCATCTCCCATTACCTCACTGGTTAGTTCCATTTTCTCGTTCTGCATCTCAAATTCTTGCATTATCTTTTGCAGTGATGGCAGGTTCATCTGCCTATTCATTTGTCCCATTGCCTTAGTGACACCTTTCATTGCCTCCCCCATTGCTTGCGTCGATTTCAATGTCTGAAAAGGAAATAGCAATGATGAATACGGTTAAAGTCAAAACAGTTCTCCAATTAGATAACACGCTGGAAATGATAAATTCCTAAGTATTCGACAAATTTTATGTTATGAAGTTTGTAACAAATCAACAGATAAAAGCAGCCTGGATCAAAAAATTGTTTAAGTTGAATTGCTACCCTTTACAAATTCTAACTCGTGGTTACGAAGTAAAAAAAAACAAAAAAAGTAATTTCTCATAAATTCAAAAAGTCACTGAAACCAAGCTTATACAATCGACGAATTTGCTTTCCTCATCAATGTAAAACCGTCTTAAAAATTCGACAATTGTTTAGAGATAACTTCCAAATAATCAAATATTGGTAAGATACCTGAATTCTGAGGGATACTCCTTGAAGTTGAGATTTCAGCTTGTAAAACTTTTCAATCTGATGTCGTGTTCTGATAAGATCTTTGGCCATCACCTTAACAGCTCCCTGTAACAAATACACTATAAATCAAATACACATTCAAGTAAGTGAGCACATTCATTTCTGCAAACAGAATTAGCAAAATAGAGAAGAAAACAAAAATTGCAGCAGGTCTAAGGACAGTGTCCAATGAGAGAAATTAGCAATTTATACAGTGCAAAGTCCGGAATGAAGCATCCAGTCAAAGATGAAGGATTGAGATGTGCTGAAAATTAAAGATTCAGCAAAGTGTTAACGGAAATTATTAAAGTCGGCTGCACATCAAGTTTTAATTATTCTGAACTTGGAGAAAGGTTTTACACTTTACACAGATCGTTATTTCAATGTTTATTTTATATGTCTGTAAGTATATTACTTATTGAGGCATATTTTCTCATTGTAGAAGCATGTGTTCTATAAATTCCTTCGAGGAAATTTAAGAAGACAAAAAAACGTAAAATACAAGAATCCATGGATCAACCTTCTTCAGCTTGTTTTCCTTAAAAACTTAAAGAGTCTTCACTTATAAGAGAGAATAATATTTTTAACTCGATACTAAAAACGTGCAAAGAAAAAAGGAGCCACCTAGCAGATTTCTAAATACAACAAAACAATTGACTTACCATCTGTCCTTGCTTGGCGCTTTTCTTTATCTCTGCAATAAGCTTCTTTTCTTGGGTTTGTAAACCCTGTCTCTCCCTCTCAATTTCCCGTATAGATTTATCAAGCATTCTCTTATTTTCCCGCAGAAGCTCTGCAAGATACAAACGTCACATGTAGCAAATCAAATATGCAAGAATCAAGACGAACAAACACAAAATCATATGCAATCTTGAACCAGTGTATGAACCGCCCTCTTATTCTCTCAGACATTTGAATCAATTTACGAGACTAAAACACTCGAATTTCTCAAAAATTAGAAAACGGAAAAGTAACTCTTATTGAACTACATTTTTCTCATTGAATTCATAATTCACATCAGTCATGTGAGAATGAAAGTAATATTGAGTCCACACGTCTAATGATCCCATTCCGTCGACAGATTGTTATTCAAGTCACAAAACCCATAACTCAAGCAAGAGGAATTCTTCAAACAACAGTTAAATTAAACACAGACAAATGCTCAATGCAGTAAACGAACGTTTCGCCAGCAATTCTCGTAAACTTATCCGTATTACCATTATTTTTCCAACAATTCGATTAATCATGCTTGAAATCTCTGCTCCAATCTCTAATTATTTAACTCAATCTAGAAATTGGACCTTCCCCTAGTTCCCTAATCAAGTAATTAAAGAATTATTTATCTTTCCGATGATCCAATCTAAATTCGAGACAATCCAAAACCCAAATTTTCTCTCCCATCTGATAAAAACTCGTTACATGAAGTATGATTCAATAACAACAACAAAAAAAAAGAAAAAACAAAAATTAAATCTGGAAACAGACCTGCGGGAGTCTTCTTCTTTCCGAAAAGGAAACTCATGGCGATTGATTGGTTGATCGGTCGATCGATTGATTGATTGATTCCGGCGAAAGAAGAAGAAGAAGAAGAATTCGTAGGGAATATTGTTGCAGAAAAAAGAGGGTTTTGATCAACGAATATATGTGCAAGTTAACGCGGAAGTATATATGAAGGCTAATTAACGCGGAGAAGACTTTTGTTTTGGTCTGATATTTCAAATGGTTGGTTGGATATGAGTTATGACGTTGGATATACACGTGGCAGGATTATATTCCATTGGGCCAAGATAAGTAATATGGGCTGGCCCGAAAACAGATCATGTCCTGGTTCGGGCTTCTCTATATCTATTAGTTTGGGCTTTCAATCTTTAATAATCCTTTTCATTTTCTATTTTTTTCTTAATTTTTCGTAATATATTTTGGAAATCTTAGTCACGATCAATTTAGGTCTCGTTTGGTTGCGAAAATAAGATTAAATAATCTAATGACAACCCAATTATTGCGGGTCGACTCGAAAAGTTATTAAGGTTACCAAACATTAAACAAAGTCCAATTATTTAATTAATAGTGGTTAATCTCCTCCACTAAACGAGGTCTTAGCTTATATGAGATATCGAGTACATACATTGCAGACGAATACTTTTATTTCAAATTAATAAATGTAAAATCAATTTGTAATGTACTGTATCTTTTTTTTTTATCAATAATTTTGTAATGTATTATGCATGTCAACAATGCAAAAAAAAAAAGAAAAAAATTGTTTCAAAATTAAAATTTTGTTACAAATGAGATAATGTATGAGAGGGGCATAATTTTTTTAATAAGAATTTAATTGCTAGCAAGCGATATTTAATTTAGACAAATAAACATATAAAAATGAAAAATATATGTTTGGGAATACAGTATATACTACGGTTGAAAAGGGTGTGAAAATAGTTTGGGGAAAAAAAATCCTACTTTTATCTCCGGTGAAAAAATCGGTTTGTGATGCTACAGTTGGTGAAATAGGGTAATTTTAACCGTTGATACAGTAAAATAACTTTCCACTAAACACACATATGCATGAGTGTGTGTGTGATTATGTGTAGATCAACGATTAATAATAACCCGGTGAATCGATGTATTTTATCGGGTGTAGGATCCGACAACATGTGCGCTATGATGCCCGGCCATATGTTGACTTGTGAGATTCCTAATGGGGGGCCTCTTTGTATGCCCATTAACTCTTGTAATATCAATCAAATTTATTTCATGTCTCTTTAGTTTTGTGAATTGCTCTTTTCTCTTTGTTGTTCACTAACAGACATATTTTACAGCTACCATATTCATCATATTATTTCCTAGATTGATAAAATTACAAAAAAAAAGAAAGAAAGAAAGAAAGAAATTGGTTTTATAGATCGAAATAATCAGGGCCGGACCTGAGGGCAAGGGGGCACATGCGGCAGCTTAAGGCCCCCGATCCGAAAGGGCCCTCGAATTTTTTGTTGTCGATTAATTTAATTTGAGATACGAGAAGTCAACTTTCGAAATTTCATTTTCCAAAAGTCGATCTTTCATCTATGTTCTCCGAAAATGTTCACGTGCAAATAAGCTTATGTATATGGAATCCAAGCTTCATTGCAACATCTCTCTCAAATTTAAATTAAATTAATTAAAAAAAAAAGGTAGATCACATTTTCTTCGATTCGAAGAAACAAAACGCTCGTCACAATCGTTGCAACAGTAGGATTAGCCAAAATAAGATTACACAGTCGAGGTCCAATACACAATTAAAACTAAAACTTTTAACTTAAAATTTTCGACTAATGATAATTCGAAGACCAACAGTACAATTTCAGCAAGCTACGGAATTCGAATGCAAATTTCGAAGAATCCCGATTATCAACATAAACTACAAGTTGGTTTGTTAATGCAAACTATTTAACTACATTGCGAATCCACAAGCAATGGCTCGATTCATCTTAATACTCGTCGTTCCATAAACGGGCAATTCTTCGCCGCCGTACGATCCGATATTCTCGAGCTCGAAAAGATCGGAGCTTGCGCAGCTCATGTCGTCGCCGTCACTCTCATTCTCAAAAAGCTCGACACTTTTCTTGATAAGCCGGCTTTTAACACTCGGCATTGATGAATTAACCGAGTACTCGTTTTCATCGAATTTAACGGACCTCTTCGATTTATTGCATATCGAAGAAGACGGGTTTTTGATTAAGCAAGATTTTGAGGATGTAGTTGGTGGGTCCCTCATTGATCTTGATTTTCTGATTGAGGAGCTCCATTCCTCCACTGTGGTCTGTTTCTGCTTAGGGTTTCTGGGGCTGAAGATGGAGTTGAAGAAATTTACGATTTTGCCACCGGGTGAAATGGGTTCTTTCACTTTCTTCAATTCTCCGTAGATCTTCATTGCTTTGGATTTTGTTCTTGTGTAGAGATGATTCTTTGACGATGATGAAGATCTCGAGAGAACAGAGGAATCTGTTTCTGAAGATGAGGAGAGGATGCTTGAATCTGATGATGTGCCTGAGTTTGAGGAGATGCGCCGCCTTGGAACGGCGGCGGCGGCGGCGGCGGCGACGACGGTGGTGGTGGTGGTGTGGTTTTCCATCCATTTCTCGACCGTGATTGCTCGGCGGAGGCTTGCGATTTCGTCTTCGAAATGGGCGGCGTTGTTTCTTCTGGTGTTGCTGCGGAGGTGGACGAAGTCTTCAGATTGTTGGTGGGGTTGCGAGGCGGCGGCGGCGGCGCATCCGGGTTCGTCGATGGAGAGGTAAATGGCGTCGAGGAGGGAAGAGGAGAACGACGGCGTTTTGCGCCTGTGCTTCTGTGTTTGTCTCTCTCCCACAGCCATCGCTGCTTCTCTCTCTCTCTCACACACAGACACACACACTTGAGGTTTTTTGGGAAATTAGAAAAAAAACAGTGATTGATTGCAGCTTTAGAGAGATGAAGTAAGAGAGAGAAAAAGCCAAATGCCACGGCTTTGATCACAGAGAGAAACTGTAGTGTAGTGTAGTTGATTCTAACTTATAAATTAAAGGGTATTTATAAGCATAAATTTTAAGAGTATAAATTTCTATATAAGAACAAACACACACAAGAATGAGTGGATGAAAGTATTTTTCATTTTTTTTTAAATCCAATGTTTCATGTTTTTTCACACATAAATATTCAATAATTCACCTGATTAATAACTTAATCATGTACCATTATATGTTTTATACATGCTACATTCAGTGAAATACGCATGCTCGTATGTATACTCTTTATAATTACTCGGGGTGTAGTAAAAATCCAGTGCAACATCCACCGGGTGTAGTACACGCACTCACATCACATTGATATGCGTAAATCAACAATAAAAATAGACCAAACCATGGTTTGTGTGTGTAAGAGAGTGATAACATAAAACATAAACTTTAATTAGTAGAGAAAAAAAACACTAGCACAAGCACACGCGTGCGTATGGCATGAGAGAGAAGAGTTTGCCAGAGTGGCCACGAATTTGGTTGCAGGGTACTATTATTATTATTATTATTTATTTATTTATTTTTGTTTTTTTTTTTGTCCCAATTTTAGTAGTATGGTTTTGAGTGGTGAGAAAAAAAAAAAAAAAAAATACACACACATGTGGTGTAATGACCCTCGTTGTATTTCAGGTACGAGACATCAACTTTATGTACAAGTGCCAAGTGGTATTTGTTTTTATAATAAATCCATTAATAGCTACAGCTTCTTTGCAAGTACAGACAACCGAATTTAATTCCAACTACAGTACAGACACCACTCCGATTTAATTACGTGGGCAGTTGAGAATAAAAAATTAAATTAAATTGTTAACAAAAGAATAAAAATTAATTAATTAAATTAAATTGTTACGAATCTGAAAAAAAAAAAAAAATAAACCATGTACTTTTATGACCCTTGTTGTATCTTGATCTTCATCCAAAATTGTTACAAATCAGTAATAAGAAGGTAGCAAATGTGAAAAGGGTACCAAAAATTAAATTTACGACAAATTACGATCATCCCTGAGAGAATGTTAAATTACGAAAATACCCTTCTTGTTGGATAATTACAACCACACCTATCAGCTATGTATTGTGCTACAAGTGTACTTTTATGGAGTCAAATTTATCTATACTTAGTGCAATACGATAAAAGTTGAACGGCGTAATTATAATTACCCAAACAAAATAGTTTTTTTTATAACTTATAAGTAGTTCAACATTTACTCAATATTCAGTATTTGAAATATTGGAAGGTAAAGAACATTATTGCTCTTCACAACTTCAAAAGCTGATGATCTATTATCCATCAGAAGTGCATCAGATATTAAATAATTATTTAATTAGTTAATTATTTGAAGTTCAATATTTTCTAGAGGAAATATATCACATACATATAGATAATATTAAAATCCCCATAATATGCCACAATTACATGTGATTAAAAAACACCATAAAAAAAGATAAAGATAAACAAAATAAACCCCAAAAGGCTTTCTCTCTGTCACAAAATTTGTGACTTTCTGCAATCACAAGTACTGTTTATGTATCCTTGCTTTATTTTCTTCCCACCATAATTTAGCATGTATCTCCCCAAATTTCTCCCTGCTGAAAATTCAGTTCAAAGTTTACTCATCAGCATACACTACATACAGTTAACACAAACAATGCTGCATTTTCACTATATATACGATAAACGAAGAGCACCACCCGTAAAAGATCGAAAAAACGAAATAAAATAACGCGAAGAGGGTAACAGCAAAACCAACCTGAATCTGACACGCCTAAGTTCTCTTCTGCCATCTGGCAAAGCTCTGACAGTAATATACACACCGGGCTCATCCTGTTCGACCCATTCAGATTCCAAATCGCTGGCATTGCTTATCGATATTTCTCCGGATCGATCCGAAGCGTCCATCGAAGACGAAGTTTCCGTCTTTCCACCACAGATGCTCGACAGTTTAGGAGTCGAGGCTGAATGCGAGTGCATGGATTGGAGGTCCAAGGAATCCGACGAGGAATATCCCATCGGCCGGTTAATTAAGGTACGAAGTGGCGGCTCCCTGCCAAGTGGCGGTGTGACCGGGCTGTCTTGGACTGATTCCATCTTCGAGCTTGTGATGCTTTCGGTATCTTCGGATCTTGGAGTTGTTGGGATAGGGAACGCTTGCAGGTTTAGCCTCTGCACGTTGTACAGTTCCATCACCCTTTCGGAATTCTCGGCCCACCATCTCTGTGCTTGCCATTTATTGAACATTTCTCGACTGCGTGTAATCAAAAATACATAAGACGATCGAATTGTTAAATAACAAAGTCATTAATTACGTGAAGCCACTATATTTGGACCCACAAAAGGTTCTTGAATAGTCGTCAACCAAGTCGTTATTCGTTAATTCTCGGTTTTGTCCTTACTTTGCTGAGAAGGGCATCCTAACAACTCCCCAACAAAAATAATGGAAGAAAGCAACAAATGAAATTATTGTTTTAGTTTCATGAAAATGGAAGATGAGTCACAATCCATTTTTTAAGGACAAGCATGTAACCTAGAACAACATTGATTAGTAGGATTTATGTACAGACAGAGGCATGTGTTCATTATCATAAGGTGAGGACAACAAACACATTGAGTGTGGACCGGACCATATTCAATTTCATATATTCAAGAATCAAATAATTAATTTTTATTTTTTTTTTACTTTTTTAACCTGGAAAAGAACAAGAAAGTAAAGAGGACAGCTGGAGATGTTTGTTGTTGAAAACCAGTTTGGGGATGGGCAATCTTGTCATAACTACAAATTTGGAGTGACATGTAAGATCGATCATATGCATTTGTTGTCTGGATATAAAAATATTTTATTCAACAGATTAATTGACAAGAAAATAATTTCCCCACAAGATGACAAAATCAAAGAAGAATAGGCGCGTGATCGATCAAAAGATTGAAAATGAAAGCTAACACATTACCCGACAAGACAACAACAATTAGTAAAAGATTTCCCAACACTATGAGAACTGTGTGGGCCCCACCAAAAAATGAGTTTTTGCCATTTCTTGGACTTTTTAAAAGGGTGCACAACTAGGTTTCTATTCTCATTGCTTTTCCATGATGATATGTGTAAATTACTATGGGTAAAGTTTCTTTATTAAAAAACAATCTCATTTTAGAAATTACGTCTAGCCCCTTGCAGTTTGTAAATTTTTTACATCTACCCTATGTAAAAAGGATATTAATGCAAGAAATCTATGAATTGCAGGGGTGCATGTAATTATGAAAAAATTATGGGGGTTTGGTAACGAACAATAGATCTTATACCCGTGGGACAATTTTCAGAAGAAAAAAAAACATAAATGATTGCATGCAACTATTAATTTTACTTTAACTAATGACCACCGTACACCAAAACTACTTTTACTTTTACACAGCTTCTGCCATAAGTGCAAAAGTAACCTTTTCTTGCATGGATTACGCAAACTTTGATATATTCAATATTTTATCTTGTTAAATATACACCACAAACAAGCTAGTTAATTGTATTTTCTTACAATTATTAAAACTGCAAAAAAAAATTATTTTATTTTATTTAGAGGGTCTTTAGCTAAACTTATAATCTCTTTCAAACTATTTGGTAATTTTACCAAAAAAAAAGATCTTAAAAATTCAAAAAAATAAGGTGTTGAAAAACTTTTAAAATATTTTTTAAGATTTTATAATGAGTAAAAATATCTTATAAGTTTATTATCCGAACACTTTAAAGAGTAATTCTTAAAATAAGAGATAACAGTTTATTAGCTCTTAAAACGTCCTATCAGACGTTAGAACTTATCAGTTTAGCCAAACGAGTCCTTAGCTTTTAAGTTGAATTTTGAACTTTGTGTGTTTGTATAGTGAACTCGAGACACTAAATTAAAACATATTACCTGGATTAGTGTTAGCTTAAGATAAAGTAATTATGTAAGAAGACAAAGATTACTGCAAAATGATTAATAATGTTTGACTTTCACACTAGAGTTAAGAATATTCTCACTAAGCATGCGGTTTTTTTTACCTAATGGTCGTAAAGCACTATATCAATCATGCCAAATCATTGTTTCCACTCACAATTTTTATTTTTATTTTTCTATTTTCTTTTTAGTATATCTTACATTAATTTATGAAATCAAATTTATTTCCAAAACTAATTTATTTGTGGGGGTGATTAATTATCTAATTCTATTTTCTCAAAATAAAAACAATTAAATTCACAGTTATTGATAATTGATTTTAATTACTTTTAAGTAGTGTATTAGTGATACTGATATAATTAATGCTTTGAACTAATTAAAAGACTGACCAAACATTAGTTGTGAAATTACCAAAAGGGGTACCTGAATCGAATGCGCTTAAGATCGTTGCCGCCACGTGGCAGGGACAAAAAGGTAATTAAGACGCCGGGTTCCACCTGAGCCACCCACTCCTTGGGCTCACTCTCCTCCACGAACACGACCGGGTCGATTCGGCGGCCACTCGCCGACGCCGGCGTCCCCTCGCCGCTGGATATTCCCTTCAGCCTCGCCTCCAGCTCCCTCCTCCCCGCCGAGTTCGTGCTCCCCGTCCGCCTGTACGACCACCGGAACTTATCCGGCGCCACCGATTCCGGCTCGCCGCCGCCGTTGATGCTACCGTTTCTTCGCGGCTGCGCGGCCGGCTGATTCGCGCACGGCGCGCAGTGGCGGTACGCACCCGACGCCTTCAGCGCCATATCCTTGATCTAAATTGAACATTTTCCCCCAAACACCAAATTTCAGAGGCGAAAATATTCCCAAAATCCGACGAAATCAAAAGATGAATACGTCAAAAAAATTACGAATCAACGATGAATAAAACCTGAGAAGTGAGGGTTCTAACGGCCTGCTTAGTAGGTACGCCGCCGTCGGAGTTGCTGATCTTTTCAACAGAGTGGTGGTGGTGGTGATTATGATCGATGGACGGCGATTCATCACCCCCACCTTGCTTCGAACGCGCTATGCATGTAAGCATTTTTTTTTTTCTTTCGTTTCGGCAATTACGCAAACAGGTTTCGGTCACTCCTAAAAAAAATTAAAAAAAAAAAAATCAAAATTACAACCAAACACGGCGTACTAAAAAAATAAAGTAATTAAATAATTAAGGAGTACCTGATCGGAAAAAAAAATGGGGAGATGCGGTAAAGGAGAAAAAAAAAACAGAGTAGTGAGAAGTGTTGGAAGGTGATGAGGCAGCTTTAATGGCGTCGCTTAAAATGCGCCATCACAGATATTTCTGTTCATCGTAATTATTAATTGTACAGTAACAAAAAGCATGAGTCAAATTTTGTAATTTATTTTTTAATTTAATGGAAAAAAAAAAAAATTCTGGGTTTAATTTTATAGATTTAATACAGAGGAGAGAAGAAGGGGGTACTTGGTGTTGAAGGAAGGTGATAAAGGGGAGGATACTGGATACAAATGTATTGTAGAGGCTAGCCTTTACTTTTTTAACCTCCTTTATTTTTATTTTATTTTTTTACTTTTTCTTTTTCTCAGGTTTTTAGGGGTTCTTGTTCGGATTTTAGATCCAAAGGTAGAATGAGAAGTGTCAATACTTATTTCTTTTGCAATTTAATATTTAATATAAAGATTGTTTTTTCATCAATCCCAATGAAAATGAAAATGGCTAATGGACTTTTTTATTCGGACTTAGAGGGTGTTTGGCTAAGCTTATTTTAAACAGCTAATAAGCTCTTACGTCTGATAAACTGTTACATCTTATTTTATGATTAATTTTTAGAGTGTTTGGATAATGAGTTTATTTCCTATTTTTACTCAATATAAGATTTTAAATAAAAAGGTGGTGTAGCGGTACTTATTTAAAAAGATCTTATTTGCTCTCCAACAACTTATTTAAAAAAAATTAAGATTTTTTTCTAAAAATTTACCAAACACTTTGGAAGAGCTTATAAGCTCTAAAACATCTTATAAGCTCCTTTTAACATCTTATAAATTTAGCCAAACACCCTCAGTCGATGTTTGCAAAAGCTTTTAGAAATAGATTATGAGCTTTTATTCTCTCATAATTTGTTTTTAGGTGTTTGCAAAATTAATTTCTGCTTTTCCTTCTCTTAAAATAAGTTGCTTTAAGCTATAATTTTAAAAGCATCAATGTACCTGCTATTTCTATTTAAATTGATTTTTTGCAAACACCCCCACTTTTAGAATTAAGCACTTAATATTAACTTCAGACACAATCACTAACTTATGCTTTTAAATAAGCTTTTACAAACACCACCTTAGGCCCGTTTGACTAAGCTTATTTTCAACAACTGATAAGCTCTTACGTCTGAAAAGTTATTGAAAGAGTAGATAAGCTATTACATCATATTTTTAGACTTGATTTTTAAAGTGTTTGGATAATGAGCTTATAAGTTGTTTTTACTCATTATAAAATCTTTAAAAAAAGTAGAGTAGATGTAACTTAGGGTGTAAACGAGTCGAGTTTGATTGTTTTGGTGTGATCGAGCTCGAGCACTTCAAGTATTTTTTTTATTTTTATTTTGAATATGTTTTTTTTATTTGTATTGTTAGAATTTTATTACAAACTAAATTAAAAAAAATCCAAGTAAAAAAAGACCAGGCCCTTAGAGCATCACCAAGAGTGTAATGCAAACTCATATTTTACACCATATGAACAACCAAGAGCAAAAAAGTGAGCTCCAAGAGGCAATGCATAAATTTTTAATTGGCTAAATTGTAACTTTAACTTCTTAAATTTGAGAAACCAAAACTACAATTTAGCAAATCTAAGAAATATTAAAATAAGCTATATTGTACTTTATAATATATTTATCATTAAAAAATATTTTATATTATCTTACTTGTTGTTTTCAAATGAATGTACAAAAATTAAATTTACTTACTATTTTACTTAGTATTAATAATAACTAAAATTAAAAAAAAAACTATCACTTTAATTAAAATAAATAAAATATTTCATAAAGAATTATAAAATTTTAATGTTTATTAATATATATCAATTAAGTTATTGAAATTTATTTTATCAAATTTAAAATTAATTTTGTATACTTATTAATTAGTATTATTAATTATTAGTATATTCACTAAAATAAAAGTCAAATAAATTTGTAAAACAAAAATTATTAAAGAGTCAACATATAAATATATGTTTATAATAATACACATTTTTATTAATATTTTAAAATAATTAAATATCATGTAGAAACTATTTAATAAAAAATAATTAAAAATAATAATTGTGTAAAATATAAACAATGTTGTTGAAGCGCAGTGTTAAAAATGAAGTGCTAAAACACTGTTCGTTGATTATATTATAGATATGGACAATCGCTTTTAGACAAACTGTTGGAGATGGCCTTATGTGTCCTAATTTTCTCAATGGTCCAATATGTAAAATTATTTGTGTTTCATTCACCCAGGCCCATAATATGATGGATCCGTTACCAAAAGGGTAAATTACAATCATCTCCCTGAAGTAATGTAATTACAAAAAAACTCTTTATGTTTGAGAAATTACATTCAGTCTCCTGTAATTTGTAATTTGCTTACATTCATCCCCTACTAAAGGGTACTAATATAAGAAATCTGCATATTGCGAGGGGTGGATGTAATTATGAAAACATTAGGGGGGTTTTGGTAGTATTATGAAAACACATTTTTGACCTAATTTTAGATATAATCTACATATATTAAGTAATTAATTAATATAACCGATTTTGTTTCTACAGACATAATTAATAATTACTGGGTTTAAATATTTTAATTAGCAGGTGGAGTGATCAATCGAGTTTATTGAAGAAGATAATTTCTGCAGAAATGGTTGCGATTTAGGAAAACAATCTCGCATTCACTCCGTCGATCATATGGTACAGCTCACTCAGGGGTGACGGAATCATTGTTTCATGCGTTTTCTGCATGTTGTACAGATATATATATATATATATACAATAATATATATCATATAGATAGATATACGTACGAGTGTCGATGCTGCGGCGTAGAAGAGGCTCCGCCGGGAAAAGGCCTGAAAATTCGGAGCCGCAATCGGACGAAATTAAGAAGGGGGGAAATGGCTACGAATCGGATGAAAAATCGAGTTCCAGCTCGGAGAATTTGAATCTCAGCGACGGTTCGTCTCCGGCGTCGGGGAAGAAGAAATGGAACTGCGTGGACACGTGTTGCTGGTTCGTCGGTTGCATATGTTCGATGTGGTGGTTTTTGCTCTTCCTCTACAACGCAATGCCGGCGTCCTTCCCGCAGTACGTGACGGAGGCGATCACCGGCGGTCCCCTGTCGGATCCGCCGGGGGTGAAGTTGGCCAAGGATGGGTTGAAGGCGAACCATCCGGTGGTTTTCGTTCCCGGGATAGTGACAGGTGGGCTTGAGCTGTGGGAAGGGCACTCTTGTGCTGAGGAATTGTTCAGAAAGAGGCTATGGGGTGGTACATTCGGTGAAGTTTACAAAAGGTACCGTTTTACGGATTTTATACGTTATTTGAAATTAGTGTTGGATCTTGTGTTTTACTCTATGGATCGAAGTTAAAAATACGGTTGATTGAACGGATAAATGAATGGAAGGAGGAGAAGATGTAAGCTATTGTGGGATTCGCGGATGTTCGTGATCGATGGTATATCGGGATTTGTATATATGCATTTAAAAGTAGAGATGCTAATAAGTTGAGACGCGTAATCGATTTATATTTTATCATGATCTCGATTAATTTCCAGATAACAGGTAGGTTAATGGTGTTCGTGAGATTTTGCATTCTGTCAACTAAGATCTGCTTTACTTTGAATATACAATACTTCTTTTTGTGGTTCAGTTTACGCGATTGATGGTGCGGAAGCTGAAAATAATAACTTCTATTGTGTTATCTAAATGTTTTAAGGCTAAACGTTTGCTTGATTCTTTTGTAGTTTGCTGTAAATTCTCTACTGTGACTGCATTCCTTCCCACTATAGAAATTGGCGAAACAATTGATTGGGCAGTGGTAGTTTCTTAATTTTTATTTTTTGAGTTAATTAACGGTTTGATGATTTCTTAATTTTTTTTTTGAGTTAGATTATTTTACTTGAACATTTTATTTAATGTTTCTACCGAATAGTGCACTGTTTGTTGCAGACCTTTGTGCTGGGTGGAGCACATGTCGCTGGATAACGAAACTGGATTGGATCCTCCAGGCATAAAAATCAGGCCTGTTTCTGGCCTTGTAGCAGCCGATTACTTTGCACCAGGTTATTTTGTTTGGGCAGTTCTAATTGCCAATTTGGCTCGTATCGGATATGAGGACAAAAATATGTACATGGCAGCTTACGATTGGAGGCTCTCGTTTCAGAATACTGAGGTTTACTATCTTCTGATACTTTAATATAGGAGCTAGCAATTGAATACTGAGAAAAAGCACAACGTGCACATGATTGCTATATATATGTGTATATATACATGTATGTACTATTTTCGATTTGTTTGATTTGTGTTGATTCATCAGGTTAGGGACCAAACTCTCAGCCGAATAAAAAGTAACATAGAGCTCATGGTTGCTACTAGCGGCGGTAGAAAGGTGGTGGTTGTACCGCATTCCATGGGTGCTCTGTATTTCTTGCATTTTATGAAATGGGTGGAGGCGCCTGCACCTATGGGTGGTAGCGGTGGACCGAGTTGGTGCTCTGATCACATAAAGGCTGTAATGAACATCGGCGGACCTTTTCTAGGTCTACCTAAAGCAGTTTCCGGATTGTTCTCCGCCGAAGCTAAGGATATAGCAATCGCAAGGTTTTTACCTGAAACTTTCTTGATTTATTAGTTTTTATTTTCTTTCAGTTAGAATATCTTCGTGACGTGTCTTTCTGCTTACATGCAGGGGTATTGCGCCCGGTTTTTTGGATAAGGATGTGTTCGGGTTTCAAACTTTACAGCATGTGATGCGAATGACTCGTACTTGGGACTCGACAATGTCGATGATCATAAAAGGTGGAAACACTATCTGGGGTGGACTTGATTGGTCACCAGAAGACGGGCATCAGTGTAATAATTTCAAAAAGAAGAACATCAACGGTCAACCGGAAGTCCATAACGCAACTCTGAGTTTATTTAATTCTAGTCGTGTGAAGTATGGAAGACTATTATCATTTGGAAAGCACGTGGCTGATTTACACTCGTCAGAGATTGAGAGCGTTGATTTTAGGGTGATTTATCTCTCAATAACCAAATTACATATCCCCTTATCCTGAATTGAAATTAACTACATGAATTTTTTTTATTAATGTATAATGTATTTCTTTGTTTTTTCTTCTTTCTGGTGATCTGTAGGGTGCTATCAAGGGAAATAATCAGGCCAACACAACTTGCCGTGCCGTATGGACAGAGTACCACGACATGGGCATTGATGGAGTCAAAGCAATAGCTGATTATAAAGTCTACACTCCAGATTCGATATTCGATCTTCTTAATTTCGCCGCACCAAAGATGATGAAGCGGGGTGGTGCTCATTTTTCGTATGGAATCGCCGATGATTTGAGTGAAGAAAAATACGATCACTTCAAATACTGGTCAAATCCCCTCGAAACAAAGTAATAACTCCGATTTTCTTGTTTTTTTTTTATCCCTGCATCTAGATTTGCATCTGGATTTCACTGGTTTGAGTTATTTGTTGTTTGGGTTTCTTGAAAAGTGGTGGGGGGCCATGGCCCCCCACAGCCCTACGTTTGGCTCCGCCACTACAACTCAAGCAATGATCATATTCTGTAATCCTTTTTACAGATTACCAAATGCTCCGGAAATGGAAATCTTTTCAATGTACGGAGTAGGGATCCCTACAGAAAGAGCGTACGTATATAAATTAAGTCCTGCTGCAGAGTGCGTTATCCCTTTTCAGATCGACACCTCTGCGGAAGGCCATTGTCTGAAGGGAGGGGTATATTCCGTTGACGGAGATGAAACTGTACCGGTACTAAGTGCCGGATTCATGTGCGCCAAAGGCTGGCGGGGAAAGACCAGATTCAATCCCTCGGGAATACGTACATTCGTGAGGGAGTACAGTCATGCCGCGCCGGCGACATTTCTAGAAGGTAGGGGTACACAAAGTGGGGCCCACGTCGATATATTGGGGAACTTTGCTCTGATTGAAGATATCATTAGGGTTGCAGCGGGTGCAACTGGAGAGGATATAGGAGGTGATCAAGTTCATTCCGATATTTTGAAATGGTCCGAAAGAATTAAGCTGAAACTATAGAACGTTACTCTCGTGTAAGTTTCTCCATCCTTCATTACGTGTTGTTTCACAAAGAAATGATTTTTGGTTTATTCAAAATGCAGCTGCCTAATTTACTGCATCTATGTGTATTCTCATTCAACTCAACTCACAGGTACGACAAATTTGTTGGATGATTTGATTTGCTTGGCTCCGAGGTGTATAAAACACATTTGGTAAGTTTTTGGGCGTCCATTTCCATTTTATTCTGGAGAAAGATGTTTTGGGAGAAGAATTTGAAAATAAAATAAAGTTTTTTTGTGTTTTGAGAGGAGACAATTTGTACTGTAGCAAGTCAAGTCATGTCTAAAAGGTGTTGGAAAAATGTATTTTGGAAGAAGAATTGGAATAATAAAGTGATTTTAGTTTGTAATTTAGTGAAGACAATTTTCAAGTCAAATCATGTACGTTGGAGAGAGAAAAAATTTAAATTCTTTTTGGGGAAAGTTTTTGAAAATATTTCAGAAAGATAATTTTATTTTGGGGAAAGAATGAAAAGAATTCGAGAAGCTTACCAAACATAGCCATAGCTTCTTATACCATGTGCGTTTTCGACTTTTCAAAGTTTTTTGTCTAGTTCACTTACGAATGTTTATTTTTATCTCAGTCTTGAAGCTAGCATGTTTTTGCTTACGTTGATGCAGATTCGGGAGAGGAAACTTGGGATTTCGAATTTGTTAGAGGTTTTCGTTGTCTGAATTCAGACAATTTGGCCTAAATCGGCACAAAAAAAACGCCCGAAGAGGTATACATAAGAGTTGATATTGTGCAGTGAGGGTTTTGTGCTGTGATCATTTGTACAAAGTAGAGGTTTAACTGCTACTTGCGTGCATTTACTGGCCTTTGATTTATTTATTTTACTATCTTATTTATGTTTTTTTCGAAATTGTTGTTCTACTGTCATTCGTGACGGTTCTCTCATTGGTTACGCGTATTATATATTCAACGAAATAGATGATGAGATGGGAGGTCGTTTCGTGACGAAGATTAAAAATTGGGCCACGAAAAATATAATAGAATAAATAATTGTCTCGATTGGCATGGAGATTCAAACTTTGGTCATTGGACACAAATTCTCTTGCCCCAACCAGGTGAAATGATGGATTTTTATGATTAGACCCACACACATCGATGTGGATGTGTGTGTTTTTGTGTGTATATAAATAATAAAGATGTACTTGATATATTTCACTCGATGCACCATATTAGTATATATCAGACGGGATTTTTATTTTTATTTTTTCTATATAGAAATGTAAATGTTGATATGACACATTCACCAAAGACAAGTAATAGTAATGTGTATTTTCAAATTTGGTATGTTGTTAGTTTTGTCTTAAAGTGAAAAAAATGGGTAAAGGGTCAAAATGCACCGGGACTTGCAAATCCTATAATGACATTTAAGTCCTATTCTACTACTCTAGTGATGGTCGGGTCTCTCTCTCTCTCACACATACACACACTGCTATTTGTGACAAGACAAAACGACAAAATATGGCCCTTCTCATTCAATTTACCACATTTACCCCTCGTCCATGTTCAACAACTTTTGACTTCAACATAATCAATACTTTTCTCACACCATTCATCATTATTTGTATTTATGAAAAAACTCATAATTTTTTTATAATTCCACCAGCCCTCTTCAATTTATACATTTCTTACATTAATAACCTTTTGTATGGGGTAGATGTAGGAAATTTACAATCTATAAGGAGTGGAATGCAATTTCTAGAAAGTTTTGTAGACGTGGTGAAAATCAGATTTAAGGACAGTTTAGGTAATTCGTAATATAACGTGGGCTTCAATATGATTTCGTTTGGATTAAGAAAAAAGTTTTGATTTGCATTTTTATTTTTATTTTTCTCATTTCAAAATCCGTTGAATCAAACATATGAAATGATACGTACTTGTAGAGGTGAAGTGTCGTAAGCATGGACCAAGTTCGATCAAAGTCTTGTTTGTTTGTGACTTCTACGGACATATACGACACCATCAATATTTTATTTTAATTCATTAATCATAAAAAAATAAAAACTACCATATTTTCTTTAAATTATTACAAATACACAAAAAAAGTCAAATATATCTCATTTTTTTTCGAAACACTAGTTATGTATTTAATTTACTCTAATATATTACTATAATACGAATAATGTATTTTCGATCGAACATGTTCTTAACTAGTGCAACACATCCACACAACGGTTTATAATGCATGGAATAAATTTATATTACCTACTTTTTAAGTGAAAAAGTATATTATTTATATTTATCAATTATCATTTTAAGAATATATGTCACCACAAAAATGTAATTTGGGTAAATTACAACCACCACCCCATATATGGTTAAATTACAAAAAAACCCCTCTTGTTTGGGTAATTACAACCACCCCTCAACTATAAATCTTCTTACACGTCCACACTTGTGGTTTCAAATTTAGTAGAATTTTCGAGATTATATGGAATATTATCACTTTTGTACCCAATTTATCCCATTCGAATTCCACATTTTGAAGCAAGATGATCATAATATGTGTTTTTTTTGGCTTGTATATATCAGATTGTGGTGCATCAGAAACTGTATTTTTACACAAAACGAGTACAAATTAGAGCACATTCCACGAAACCTAGATGATTGTGTTGAATTTGACACCATAAGGGTAGAGATGTAAGAAAAAAATCATAGCTGATGCAAGTAGATGTAATTATCCAAAACAAGAAGCGTTTTTTCGTAAATTGAACATACCTCAGGGGTGTTTGTAATTTAACTATTTAATTTTGAAGCTTGAAATAACGAGTGGCATATCAGTAAATAAAAGAAAAATCAGTGTCCATTTCCATTTTCCACCACTTGTCGTTTTCCCCTTAAATTTTGTAGTAAATAAAAAAATCAGCTGGTTTGTTTGCACGTCTAGTAAATCTTCAATTTATGACCAAAATCTCCCCCTCTGCAAAAGGCCACCCGCTCCTTCACAGAAAACCATGAGAGGGGTATTCCTGAAAATAAACTCACTTCCGAGGGCCGGGAAACAAAGCACGATTAAATAACCCTCAGCAGTAGTCCCACTCTCACACGAGTGGCGCGTGATGCTACACGCCAGTCGATCGAGCCCGCGTGTGCGCTACGTCAGCAAGATGACGTCGTATGCGAGTGGGGAAAAGACAGTAAGTAGTGTCACTGGTGAAAGCCTGAAAGGGCGGCTGGGAATAATGGTAGAGTGTTGCTGGATTTATTTATTTTTTAATTCTTAATTATTATTATTTTAATTTTTTATGATTTCAATAAAATTGCACAATTTTTAAATAGGGTAAATTACGAGAGGTATGGTCAATTTATGAAAAAAAACCCTCTTGTTTGGATAATTACATCTACCCCAACTATGATTTTTTCTTACACTTCCACCCTTATGGTGTCAAATTCAACATTATCATATAGATTTCGTGGAATGTGCTCTAGTTTGTACTCGTTTTGTGTAAAACTACAGTTTCTGATGCACCACAATCTGATATATACAAGCTAAAAAACACATATTATGATCATCTTGCTTCAAAATATAGAGTTCGAATAGGATAAAACGGATACAAAAGTGATAATATTCCATATAATCTTGAAGATTCCACTAAATTTGAGAAGTTGAGGGAATAGTTGTAATTATCCAAACAAGAGGGGTTTTTTCGTAATTTGACCATACCTCAGGGGTCATTGTAACTTACCCTTTTTAAATATATATATATATATGTTGCTAGTGAAGTATTTTATATTAATGTAGTTATGAGTAACATTCTATTGAAAGAACAAATTCTATATTTATTTTGTAGATAAATAACTAAATTGGAACACGCCAAATACGACTTTCGATCTTCTTCAATTTTATCGCACGAGAGATGTTAAAATTTAAACCTAAAATGGTTGTTAATTGAATATAATCGAGTTTATTTTTTATTTTAATTTATTAAGTCAAGTTCGAATTAATTTCATATTTCATCGAATTACAAAACAAGTTCTTAACAATTGATTTTTAGTAGAATATCGTACTCGTATAATTTTAATAATTGATTCAGTTAAGTTATTTCCATTGTACACTTGTTAGGTGGAGTTCGAAAAAACTTATAAATGATCAGTGGAAAATAGTGATTGTTGAGTAAAATTACGACTAATTTGTTTACTCGGAAATATTTGTAAACGTGGTGAAAAATCAGATTAAAACTGCTAATTTAAAACTTTACTTTCGTAAAATATAAAAAAATATCCTTATAAATTGATTTAAGAAAAATATAATAATTAAGAGTACAAATATGAAATATCTAATATACTTTAAGCTTAAAAGTTATACGATATATTTTACAAAAGTTAAATTTACAAAAACAGATTATAAGCTGAAAAAGTTGATAATCTTTTTTCCAAAAAACTTTTATAAGCACCACCTTAATAATAAATCCAGAGTGATTTGCACAAGAGAACAATTTTGAAGCTTTGAATTCCTCTTAGGGCATCTTTGGTTTGCATTATTAGCAGGGATGGGATGAATTGTACTCCCGGGTATAATGTTTGGTTCGGTTGATATGCCGTCCTTGACAAATGGCCCCACCATTTTAATCAACCAATTGAATTATTAACTATCAGCCCAATTTTGGCTTGATAGTATATCAATTATACAATCACACTTTCTGCCCCATGTGAATAGACGAATATGTCCCTCATTATTTCGTAAATTACGAAAAAAATCAATATATAAACTCACAAAATCAGCTTCTTCCCCACTTAGACGCAGCCCTAGGTTCTCAGGTGTGAAATCGAATTGGGTGAGAAATCAGATCTTCGACACAGGTATTTGCAATATTTTAGATTTGTTATTAGTTTAATCCGTTCAATAACTTCCTCAAATCCCCACTAATTGAATGTACTTTGGCAGATAGAATCGAAGAAGAAGACGGGTCCGACGAGGAACCCCCCTTCGAAGTTTTGCCAGTTTCCGGTGACCGTCATTGTGGTAGGTTCCTCTTTGTCTTTAAATTTTAAATCTTAGTTTAATTCCGTTGAGTTTGAAATGAGAAATTTAGGGCTCTATTTGCTGCAAGAACTCCTCACCAACAGAGCATTACAATGCCCAATTGTTTTTTTTTTTTTTTTTTTTAATAATTATATATATATATATATATATACACATATATATATATATATATGTATATATATATATATATATATATATATATATATATATATATATATATATATATATATATATATATATATATATATATATATATATATATATCTGTTGACTCCTTATTTTTCAACCTTGTCAGTAACGTTTCTTACTCGGCATTGAGAAGCACAACAGATTCAATCCCCCATTGCAAACATTACTGCTTCCGTTAACTGCCATTACCCACAGGTATTTTCTTCGCTATTAATACGAAAAACCAGGTTCATTTCACACAGGCTGAATATATGCCACTCGTATACTACAAATGTTTTTTACTTGTTCAACACAAGCTGTTTAGTGTAGCTTATTTAAGATGTATAATATAAATTATGCACCTACTAACATAGGTGACCACTGAACGACTATCAGTTATGTTCTTACACCATACTAAATAAACCGGAGATTGTGCACACAATATGTATGTACTGAATACGCGAATAATATGAGGTATTGCTCTCAATGTAGGAAATTGTGGCCCTGCGATGGATTTTTCAAAAAAGGAAGAAGATGTTGTTGTTTTACATCAACTCATGTTTAATCTTCGGCTGTTTTTCTTGATGTCCGTTCACATATTTAGTAAAAAAAAATCGTCGTCAGTTGTCTTGCTCTCAAAATAACACCCAAACTTACAGTTTAATAGGAAGAACACCTTCACACCTTGACTACTTGCGTTCCTTAGTTGGGTTGAACGATGTAACATGTCGTGATAATCTTAGAATGAACATACAGTCCTTTTACCGGCTGTGTTATATTTTAGAAAATGTGGGCGGTCTTAAAGAAAATAGAAATGTGTCTATACCAGAGCAAGTCGCAATGTTTCTTCAAATTTTAGCCCATCACACAAAAAACGTTGTTGTTCGGAGTCATTTTAACAGATCTGGGTATACGGTAAGCAAACACTTTAACAGCGTTCTACTGGCCTTACTTAAGTTACACGAAATGCTACTGATTACACCAAAACCCGTCGACGAACTTTGTGAAAATGAGCGCTTTTCGCATTTCAAGGTAACATTATAAAATATATTATGTCAATGTTGTCTTACACAGCTGTTATTTGTTTAAATAACTACATTATTACGGTGATTATTTATTAGGGATGTCTCGGTGCACTAGATGGGACGTACATAGGGTGCCGGGTTCCTTATCTTGATAAACCAAGATACAGGAATCGCAAGGGCAATGTGTCGATCAATGTTCTAGCTGTTTGTGATGATAACATGAATTTTATATTAAGATGAAAGTGTATGTGGACTTATCATATGTTTTCGAATTTTGGTTTATGGAATTTTGTGGTTTGTGGTTTATGACAGTCCTTTGTTGTACATTTCTTCAATATGTAAAAATCTTAATTTGTGAACCTTCAATATTTTTTATTAGTACTCGATCGTTTTATTCGATGGTTTTGATGTGTAGGAGACGGAGGAAGAGAGGACATTTAGAATCAACCGCTTTCCATTGTACGAAGATTGCCACTTCGTGTTTGACGTGAAACAGGCCCCGGAAGTGAAGTTTCACGGGCTCGTGGGATATGATCCAGAACTTCCCCTCGTCATCGGCGATGAAGTGGATGATGATGGAGTTGTTGCTCCTCAGGTTGTTGCTCCTCAGCCAAATCCACCCCAAGTTGTGGATCCCCACTATGCGATCTACTTAGACGATCTTTACGATCGAATCCGAAACGAAGTTCGTGGGAACGTTGCTAACAACAACAATGCGAATGAAGAGGCTCGGAACGAGGGTAACGAACCAGCCGTCAGTTTCAGTGACGAAATTGAGGAAGCAAATGACTCCGACGGTGTTTAAAAGTTTGTTTGTCCATTTCCGTACTTTTTTAAAGACTCGTTTGTGTTTGATGTTTTGTTGAAAGACTCGTTTGTTGTTTTGTTTTGTTTGTGTTCAGTAATTGTGGTGTAATGTAGTTTTGTTTTGTTGTTTGACGTCATTATGTTCATGTTAAAACACTCGTATTGGTAACTACTTTCGGGTGTTGTATCGAACATATTGAAGGGCCGGTGTTCCCTAATTTTCTAAGTTCCCAATTTGGTTTAGTTATGTGTATAAATATGATTATATGTGGATTTGTTTAATCTCTATTTCTAAAAAAATACTATACATCATTGAACGTTCACATCAATTGCTTCCGTAAATACCTATCTCATAAACATTTCGTATGCATAAACCCCACAGATATTACATGTCTCCAACTGTTTCAAAATTACGTTTCTCAACTGCCAAGATTTACTTAATTAATGAATCGAGCAAATAATGCAACATACAATATCTACAGCCCAAAACAACGTTAATAAATATCAAGATTGTTATGTTTTACAAGGACCAAACAATTCACAAAGATCCAAATTTAGTACATCATATTGCAGCATTGTCTACACCAAAAAAAACAACACAATAACAACGGAAATAACTGAAACCACACTAATTCCACAACGCAGGTAAGAGTTTGAGGGTCGCCTCGCCTCACCTGCCCCTGATGCCAATTGATTCTCCAAATCAGCTATTTTCTGTACCAACACGGGAACCTCCAATGGTATTTGGGACTCAAGGGCATTAATTTTTTTTATCAGACCAGGAATGATGCTTTTCGATCGCTCGCACATTGCCGGATCATACCAATAGAAAGCTTGGCAACCATGTACCTACACCATGAAATTGCAATACATCTAAATTCCCACATTAAGTTATTACATGTTTTACAAAAATGCAAACTTTCAACTACCCAAACCAATTGATGAAAAACAGTTTGCATCAGCACATCGGATGAAAAAAATGGACCCATTTACAGAGTTTTATAATGCATTTAAATTGGTTTAGGTACATGTATTAATCAAGTCCGATCTGCAGGGGAAGTATCGTAAAATTAGAAAAAAGTATGTAATTGGAAAAAAAATCAGTCAACATTAACACCGTTGGTCCGACACATGAATGGGTAAAAATGCGTTTGAGACTCAGAAACACAAATCCAAACGAAATCAACAAACGGTTCAACGAACAATGACTCCAAAAACAATAATAAACATCAGATTACATGAACCTCAATCCGCTCATACCCGGTTTGCGCAACACTTAAAACGGCGCCCTGGGTTAGCCGAGGTCCAAGAAGTGTGTATGCGTAGTTGGTTTCCGCATTGACATAGATCTCCTTGCTGCCCAGTTGAATCGAAAACCCCCCCATTCTTAATGGTCGAACTCCGTCGCGAAGTAGTACTCCCAGCGCTCATGAGAACAAACTACAATACAACGGCAAACAGTCGATGAACAAGCTTTATGGCAGAAAAAAAAAACAAGATCGGAAGATAAGGTGTGGAGAGAGATTCATCGGTTTTTAAAAATGGGGGAACTTCTTTGAAAATAAAGAAGATGAAGAAGATGAATTAAAATAAGATATTTCAGGGGCAATGCAGTAATTTAACTAATTAACACACAATAGTCCCTAAAGTCAGCCGAACAAAACATGTTTTTTTTTTGTCAGGGATTATTTGTCTCGGGTGTATAACTCAAACCAAAGGAAGTATTAATCACTGTGAATCAACAATTTAGTCCCGTATTACGTATCCCATCAATAGCTATCTATCCAAACTACCGAACCAAAAGGGCCCTTATGGAACAGTAGAAAGACAAAGAAGCCTCCAAGAAAGGTGGGCCCCACTTCTGTAGAAAAAAAAAAATATACATTAAGAGCTAAAAAACAAAACAAAATACAAAAATAAAAAAAAGAAAAGAAAAAAAAAGGAGTTTAATTTTATGCGATGTGATGCCATCAATGGTGCTGGTGGGTGGTAGCGTGCGTCTTTACTATTACTTGTATTCTACCACTGTTCCATTGTTTTTTTCTTTCTTTTTATTTATTTATTTTTAATTAATTGATTTATTTAATATATATATATATATATATATATATATATATATATATATTTATTTAATCAAAGAAATAGTATCAGTGTTTTAGTTTTAGGAGGAGACTCTTCAACCAAGAATCGGAGAGAGAATCTCATGGTGGAAATATTTTAATTAATAAAAAGAAATAGTTTTAATGGGAATTTGAGGAGAGGGAAACATGCCCAATTTCATCCCAACAGTTGTGTTCTTTGTTCCTCCAAGTATTGGCACCAGATCCTAAAGGTCCCTCTCTCTCTCTCTCTCTCTCTCTCTCTCTCCTCTTTCTCTCTCTACATCTTTCACTTTCACTATTCTCTCTCTCTCTCTCTCTCTCTCTCTCTCTCTCTATATATATATATATATATATATATATATATATATATATATATATTGCTCATATTATTTTCTTAAAAGTTGCTGGCTTGTACCAAAAAAGGGTTTTTGTTTTTGATTAAATTTACAGTCTTGGTGATGTAATTATACAGACAAAATAATTTACTGAGGTTCTAATTGTGATGTTTGTTTGGTGTTTAATGGATTTTGGTCTGGGATTAGTTTGATGCATGTGTGGACTTTTGACTTATCTGGGGTTTGTTTGATTCTTTGAAGAAAAGATGTTGACTTTATTTTTTTCAATTCTTGTTTGTTGATTTCGCATTCTTGTTAATTATCCTTATCGAATCGGTTTTCGTTTTCGGATGTTTTTCGTTTTTTTGGTGTATATGTTGATGAAATCTTGAATGCATTTTGATGTTTGGGATTTATGTGAATCGGTATGGATTTCGTGGGCTGCGATTTTTTCGACTGTTTTGTGTAATTGTACTACGTTATTGTTTTTACCTTGTTTGTATCGAAGTTTCGATTTTTTTTTGAATCTTTAGCACGGTGGAATTATTAATGTTATCGGAGGTATCGAGATTCATTTATGAAATTAGGTCCACCGTGAGCCGAATGAATGAGCTAGGTAATTAGTTCTTGTTAGGTGACTGTTATCATTAATTGCGCGATTACGACGACTTACATTTAAAGGGAGGGTTCGCTAAATTTTGTACTCGATTGACTAAATACAACCTCGGATTAATTGTCTTAAAGAGTAATTCATGTAAAGATTTCTCTCGAGGTCCTCGTTTTTTTCCGTTCATAATTTGTAGCTAGGGGTTTGTTAACTTAGAGTTGAGTATACGTAAGTTCTTATATTTAACAAGAAAGTCGATCGAGCAGCTAATGTGAATCCATTTGTTCTCGAATTCTGATCGTTTATGCATCTCGATTTTTCAGCAACTTCTCTATGTAATTTTATTTTTATTTTTATTTTTTATTTTTTATTTTTTTATTTTTATTGATTCTTCAAGAACTACATAAATAAACGTGTTGGACGAATTTAAATTCAAAGTGCGCCCGTTTCAGTTTATATGTTTTTATTGGCAGAAATTTGCACAAGCATCAATTTTCGGACAATATCCAAAAATCTCGGTTTTTTTTTAACACAAAAAAGATCGACACTCCTCAACTGAATCGAAATCCCAAGTCACCGTGAATTGGGTGCTATGGGAAAGACTACTTCTCAAGATCACTCTGCTTCATCCGACTCTGGTATGTGTGTGTGTGTGTATATATATGTGTGTGTGTGTGTGTGTATTTTTTGAGTGAATAATTATATGCTTCGTCTCTTATTTTATTTAAGCGCACGATGAAAGCTACGGGAAGCATGGGCAAGATATGAAGGCTGCTTTGTTTCTGTGCAATCCCGAGCTATCAATCAATGCGTCACAAGCTGAAATAAACCAACCAATTGTAAGATGCCTCTCTCAATAAAGTTTAATTTTTTATTTTTTTTTCGTTTCGAAAAAATTTGAAATTATTAATTCAGTCGTTCTTAATATCCCTATATCAGGTGCAGTTCCCGTATGCGTACGCCGACCCCTACTACAGCGGACTTTTTACTGCCTATGGTCCTCATAATATGGTAACCGAATTTTATTCTCGTATTTGTGTTATTATTGAATTATAATTGCTGAGTTGATTTTGAATATTTGCGTGAATATTAATTTTGGTCATTGTTGAAATAATTCGATCAGATTCAGCCACAGGTGATGGCTGCTGCCGCTGGGCGGGTCCCGCTACCTGGGGATATTCCCGAGGACGGTCCGATATATGTCAATGCAAAACAGTATCATGGAATACTTAGGAGGAGGCAAACGCGCGCTAAGATGGAGGCTCAGAATAAACTCGTCAAAAATCGTAAAGTAAGTTTTGTATATATATATATATATATGTCTATATGTGTGTGTGTGTGTGTGTGTGTGTGTAGTTCTCTTATTTGTTCATCAAATTTGAAACAAGGAAAAAATGGTTTATTGCATTTAGCACCCTTGTTTTTATTCTAACTTTCAAAAAACTCCGCGTGTTATGAATATTAGCAAAAACCCCATATGATTCAATTTTATTAGCAAACTACGCCCTAAAAAAATGCACCATTTAGGTGGTTGTGTTCCGAAAAATGCTTCGTAGGGGTTATTTGCTAATATTTTGTAACATGAGGAGTTCTTTTAGCAATTTGGTATAACACAAAGGGTACTAAATGCAATTAACTAAAAAAAATGAAGTCAAAATTGTCAAAAAACTCATCGTGTTATTATATTAGAAGTCCATCTATGATTCAATTTTATTATCGAACTACCCCCAAAAAACACGCAATTGAAGGGGTTGTGTGCTAAAAAAAAAGCATTATCAGGGGTTATTTGCTAATATTTATACACGAGGAGTGTTTTTAGCAATTTGGTATAACCACAAGGGTACTACTGCAATTAACTAAAAAAAAATGTAACCAAAGAATTACAAAAACGGTTTTATCATAAAGACATCTGTGCTAAAAAAATAATTTGTCTATAAACTGCAGCCCTACTTGCACGAGTCTCGACATCAGCACGCACTGAACCGAGTGAGAGGCACCGGTGGGCGCTTTCTCAGCTCGAAGAAATCTCAGCCGTCCGATTCCCTCCCACCAACTGGCTCTCAGATCAACGGCGGCCAAGATGATCAGTTTCGTTTCAATTACGGTTGAGGCCGAAAAGTACGATGACCCCTCCACCTCGTCCGAAGGCGGCGCAACAACTAGGGTTTCAGTTTCAACCGCCGAGGCTAACATGCACCAGCGAATCCCGTCGTCCCACATGGCGGGTCCCGTGCAAAGCAATGGCGGCTTTGTGTACAGCGGGAACCGCCACTATGCTTCCATTGTCCGGTGAGAGTTGGAAAATACATGGGCTGACTCACCGGTCGGGCAATTCATCCTTGGCTTTGTTTAGTACTACTACAGTTGTTTCTTTTCTGGGGTTTTCTGCTGGCTATCGAAACTTTCTGCGGAAAAAAGTGCTTATTTTGTTGTAAAGATTGTCTGTTTTAATTAGATGAATCCTAGGTTAACTGTTTAACGGTCTTATTTGGTAAGATAACTTTTCTTTTTCTAGGTTGAAATTTGGGATTTTTTATATGCTTTTGTTTTCTGGTAATGGTTTATTATGGATATGTTTAGTTTACTGGTAACTCAACTTATATAATTATACTGCTTCTGAAAGGGTTTTGACAATACAATTATTCCTCTGTGAATTAATATAGCCGCGACTAGCAAAATTTTATTAATTTAACGAAATATTAAATTATCGAACTAATAATTTAGTTTGTTTTCACTGAGTCGGAACTAGAAAAAACTATTATTTAGGCGCCGTTTAATATTAATTTATGTTCTACTATATATATATATATATATATATTGAAAAGTCAATGAAATATATAAAATTTTATAGTTCTTTAGTAAAATAAATAACATAACAATCTAATAATTACTGGACCATATAAAACTAAAATCTAACTAAAATATTATTGGAAAAAAATAAATATATATGGTATAATAGTGCATGGAGAGATATTTTAAGAAACTAATGAACTAAAATAAATAAAAATACTTAAGATTACAATTAACATGTATTGATTTCTTAAAATTTATCGATACGAATATATTCGATTAATTGGTCCAATAATAATTAGATGTTACTTGTTAGTTATTAATATGTAACCCAAGCAAGATAACATTTTAACATTTTAAAATATTGCATTTGTAATAGATATTTTAATAATATAATATAATTATTATTTTTAGTTATTCATTGAGTAAAAGAGAAAACTTTAAGGTATTAAAATTTATAATACAAATTAAATGGTGCTTCATGGGGTAAGGTGGTGTTTGCAAATGCTTTTTGAAAGTGATTATGCGGTTTTTTTTGCTCATAATTTGTTTTTAGGTGTTTGCAAAATCAACTTTTGCTTTTGCTTCTTTTAAAATAATCTGCTTTAAGCTATTTTTTTAAAAACACCCATAACCCTGCTTTTTCAATTTTAGTTCATTTTTCGAAATATTTGCAAACACCCCCAACTTTTAGAAATAAACACTTAAGACTAACTTAAATCACAATCACTAACTTCTGCTTTTAAATAATCATTTGCAAACACCACCTAAGTGTTACAAGATTTACTTTAGGGGGTGTAAAGTGTATTTAATCCTATTTTTAATTAGATAGCTAAAAACCTGAAAAATATAGTTCGAGAGGCAAAGTGATGAGTAGTGTATAGTTAAGGGGGCAAAGTGAAATTAAACCAAAATCTCATATCCACTCCCCAAACACTCCTTCATAGTTCGTACTGTCATCCCCGAAAAGCCCCCATGAAATCGATGAATTTCCATTAATACCCTCAATTTTCCCCCTTCTTTTGTCCTCCCACTCAATGAGTCCTAGTTTATTTTGAAACCATTACTGCAACAAAACACACAGCGCAGCGTGTTTTTGTGTGTGTTGAACGGCATAACCATGGACGGTGGCGCGCATAACAATCCCCGCACGGTGGAGGAGGTTTTCAGAGATTTCAAGGGCAGACGTAATGGCTTGATCAAAGCTCTCACCACTGGTATACTTTAATTTTATGATTTTTAATTTTTTATTGTTAATTCATTTCAAATTTGTTAATTTTTTTATATGTGTTTATCGATTGTTGAACTTCGAACCGCCTTTAGTTTTTCCTTGTGCTTTTCGAGCCTAGGGTTTCTGTTTGTTCCAATTTTTTGTGCGTTAGTTTTACTGAATTTTGGATTTGTTTGTTTGTTGTTTTTTTTTTCCTTTTACAGACGTTGAAGATTTTTTTCAGCGGTGCGATCCTGGTGAGTTTTAGGGTTCATTTTCACTCTGCTGCGTGGAATTTTGTTGAATTCTGGAGTGTTATTTGGTGTACTTTGTTAGCTTTATGGTTTATCGCACTCCATTTTTTTTTTGAATTCCTAGGTGTTCTATTGCTGCTGCAATTCGGGTTATTTTAATTGATAATTTGACGATTTTTGTTACCCTCCCGTTTTTTTATTTGGAGATGGCGATCTCATGGTTTTATGTATGTTATAGATCTGGAGGAATGAGAATTGATGATAACTATGTCTTGTTATGCTTTAAATTTTCTCTGTAATGAAATTAATAGCATGAAATAGTATATGCTGTTTTCATATATTTCACATTTATTACCCAAGTGAATCTTTGACACGTCGTTTTTTTCTGCCACGGATAATTGCCACGTGGTAATAAATTAACCTGCGTGATGCTACTTCCTTTGTATAATCTGGGCTGTGCTAATTGGTAGTTACTGCTTTATTTAGTTGTTTGGAGTGTTGATATAAAGAAACTTGGATTGTTTGCGGCACGAATATTACCGGTAGCACTTTGTTTTTTGCTTTTGCGTGTGCACACATGGTTAAATTCTTTTCTGATTATATATTTTCTTTAGTTGGTGTCTGTATTGGTTCTGATGTTGGATTTTTTCACCAACAGAAGAAGCAAGTTTACCTTAGTTGACTGTTAGTTTGAACTGAAATTACTTGTAGCTTTAGTTATCTTTAGTAATTGTTTGGGTTTTTAATGGAGATTAACTGATGACAGTAAGTTTGTTCGTCGCTCTGCCTATTTCTTTTCTAGCTGCAACTGTTAGAAGGTTTATCATCATATACTCCTTTAATAACTCCAGCATATGTGCCGTATGTGTAGCTTGTCTGGAAAACATATCTGTGAGATTTTTTCTGTACTGAACAGTCAACAAAAGATGCTTCTATGTGAATGTATACTATTAAGTATTAATAGAACTACCTCTGTCAAAAATGGAAACTGTTGCAGAGAAGGAAAATCTATGCCTTTATGGGCTTCCGAGCGAGAAGTGGGAGGTTAATTTGCCTGCTGAGGAAGTGCCGCCTGAGCTGCCTGAACCCGCTTTAGGTATAAACTTTGCCAGAGATGGGATGCAAGAAAAGGACTGGTTGGCTCTTGTTGCTGTTCACAGTGATGCGTGGCTACTCTCTGTTGCTTTCTACTTCGGTTCTAGATTTGGCTTTGATAAAGCTGACAGGTAGGCTTGTCTTTGCTAATTTCTTATCATGTCATTATTTTTCGTTTATTTCCCCTTATATTCCTGAAGCAATGGTGTTTTTTTTGCATCTGTCATTTTCTTAAGGCAAAATATTAGCGAGGGAATTCAGTACTTTATACTGGAGAAGATGACTTGATCCTAATGTGTCTCAAACATAGTAGTTAAACTCGCGAGATACCGCGATATATATCGCGAGACGGTACGGTCCCAATCAGAACGATACAACTCATAATATGTATCGGCTATACATAAATACCGTTAAATATCGCGAGATATCGTATCGTATCGCCATATCACGATACGATACGATATTTACGATACTAGTCAAGATATTAAAAAAATTAAAAAAAAAATAAAGAAATTAAAAAATTAAAGGAAAAAAGAAGAAAACGAAATATTCACATTATGAGGGCCTGAAAACAAATTTCAATATTTTTTAATGTTTATTTACATATATTAGATCCAAGAAATTTACACGCCAAGTTTTATATTGATAAGAGAAAATAGGAAAAGGCCAAAGTTGGAGTTGATGAAGTTGAAGAGATTGATGAACATGAGGATGAAGATACTCGTTTGAAATTGGTGGATGAAAAAAAATTAAGTTACATTGATCTTGAAGATTATGAGTGATATATTAGTTTTTTACAAATTAGAGATCAAAATTTGAACTTTGTTGATGTTATTTTTATGAGCAGTTATGACTTATGTCCTATTTTATGATATATTTTATGATAGATTATTTTTTTTAAGAAATTAGAAATGAGTGGTTTGACTTTAAAATATTAAATTTTACATTTTTATAGTATTTATTATGCAGATATATATATTTTATTATTTTTAATAGTTGATTAAATATCGTACGATACGATAACAATACGATACAATACACGGAGGAAAACGATACACCGATATTTTCCGATTCGATAACCATGGTCTCAAATGCTTCAGAGGCTTATTTTTGTGCCAGCTGTTATTTCCATTTCTATCCTCTATAGCATATTTTTTTCGTAGCCTCAAATTAATGCATGCTTGGTCGATTCTTCATAAGTTATAACAATATATTAAGCATATTATTTTTAGCATAATTCTTGTTTGTGAACCCTCTTTTTGTTGAGATAATAGCGCAGATGCTTGTTTGACCTAAAATATACAGTCTTTACTGAGTTTTGGGTTGGACAAAGTTAATATAGTTTGTTCTGTAATTTATCTTCTCTGATGATAACTTTGAGTGACTGTCTTCGCTGGATGTACTGCAAGTTATAGCTAGCCGAATTTTTTTCCGAGCATCTGTGCTTTGGATTTAGCTTCTTTATTTTATTGGTATCTGGGTGCAGGAAACGCTTGTTCAATATGATCAATGATCTCCCTACTATTTTTGAAGTTGTGACTGGAGCTGCAAAGAAGCAATTGAAGGATAAATCATCTATCACAAACCACAGCACCAACAAACCCAAGTCAAACTCAAAACTGGTAAATGATGTTATCCATTTTCTTAATATTCTTTAGGACTTCCGCATTACCGATGTATCAATAATGTTCGGTAATTTTCTGACTTTGGTTACCATGCTCACTTATAACAATATTAAGTGTAGCCTGAGTATAAGATAAACTTTTCTGCCCAAACTTTATCAAAGAATCTTACATTGATGTGCATGTTTGAATGAGTCCACTTTTCGTTTTCTTTCCTGCCAGTTCTTCTAATAGATAGGATAATTGTTATCCCATTATTCAAGTGACCAATATGAATTGCAGAAAATCTCTAGTCTGTGTGCGAATTGAATTTGGTACTGAAGCAATTGGTAATCGTAAATGAGTATTTTTAGTATTGCTTGACTTTATAAGAATCCTTGGTTATCCATGGTGCCTAAAATACTACAAATCATTCGTCTTTTGCTGCATGACTCCCATTATCATGTCATCCCATTGCTTGGGAATGTGGATCAATTATATCTTTTCCCAAGTTTTCTATGATCAATTTGGAAAAAAGTGGTTTTTACCCCTTAAGAATTCGTTATGTTGCTTCTTAAGCATGTTTTTTTTTTAAACTTCAAGTTTTGCATACATCTGTTACTAAAAGTTAGTTTAATATCAACCCCGTCTTTGCTCATCTTCTCTGTTAACCGATGTGTTTCAGAAAAATAAACTATTTGCATTCTTTGAGGGACATAATTTGTGTGCGACACATAGGATTCATATTCTTTCGAAGACGTGTTCAATTCATGATCTGTTTTAGAAGTTAATTGAGAGGATTATATCTTTGTGAAGCAGCTAAATGGTTAGTGGAATTTTTTCCAGTTGTTGTCTGCATAACCTACTCACTGTTCGATCGTAGTTGATGCTTTATTGCATCATATGAAGTGATCTGTGTTTTAAAATAAAAAACACAAATTGTTAAAATGCCTTGAAATTCCGTATCTATTGTCGACGACCGCTTGAGTAGATATTCTTTTGTGAAGACTGATTTGCTACTGGAAATTCCATAAGCATCGTTTTTTCCATGTAGGCTAGCACTTTAAATTGTTGCACTAAAACTAGACGTTTGTATTTGTCCTCTCGGCTCTCACAACAACTGCTACTATATCTCGTATCGATGCATCAAACTACAACCTATTTCTTGTTTGAATAAGCAACCGGTTCAACCGTTTCGACGATGTTTTCTCCAAGTTTATGCAATTAAATAGATATCTTTTTAAATCTCAGGAAAAAATTCCCAAGCCCCCAGCAAAGGAAGTGGATGAGGGATTGGACGAAGAAGAAGCTCAAGAAGAAGGCGAAGAAGAGGAAGAAGAAGAAGAAGAAGAAGACGAGCATGGAGACACCTTATGTGGAGCATGTGGCGAAAATTATGCATCGGACGAATTCTGGATTTGCTGTGACATATGCGAGAGATGGTTCCATGGTAAATGCGTTAAGATCACTCCTGCTAGAGCCGAGCACATCAAACACTACAAATGCCCGTCTTGTAGTAACAAAAGAGCACGCCCTTAATCGCTTCCCCTAATTACCTGCTACTTGCAATTGTGCTTCTCATTGGCTGCAGCTTATAAGTTATAACTCATGTTTCTCATTGGCTGCAGCTTATAAGTTATAACTCACCCCCATCTAGTTGCTCCTAGTCCCACCCTTGTGTCTTAATTTACCAGAATTATTTAGCTACTTTTACTTGTGCCATTTTTTAGACGTAAAATTGTTTGTTTTTAGGGAATTTTTTTTAAAACTCTTGTAAGATCATCCTTAACATTTACTTTTACCCAGTTTACCGTTAATCGTGTCTGTTTAAAAATTTAACATTCGTTGACTCTTTGACTTTCAATCCCCCTCACACCCTTTTGTGCTTTAATAGATACAGAATTGCACATTCTTTATCATCAATCCAGGTATCATTCTTATATATAATTAGGAAACAACCTAAACATAACAATTTTGCTATGTATAAAATAATAAAATAACTTGGAATAAATAAATAAATACTGTACAGGTTTGAACTTATTTTGGTATAAGTTAGTTTCCCTTCTATTTAGCAATACACAGTTGCATTAAAAAGTTATAATTTTCACTATCCCTGAACTAATAATTATTGGGGTCTACCAAGCATTAAGCATACCCTCATGTTTGAACGAAGAACACGCAAGCACAGTGCGAAAGCAATCTGGTACGAAACAACAGCATCAATGGCAGCATATTCTACTTGATTGCGATTGAGCTCTTCAGCATCCCACTTACTCAATGTCACATCCAACGGCTTCTCCATCTCCTTTCGAAGAACTACTGAAGCCATCTTCTTCAAACTCATGTATTTGTACTCCTCTATATTTACATCTTGACCGTCGTCGATCACTGCCAATCTAGCGAGATCGTTCAGCTCCAAGATTCTGCCTACCCGCAAGCCGTGATGTCTATACAATCTGTCCACGTCATCTTCGATTCCAACCCCACAAAACGTGTGGCGGGGGTCGGATAAGAAGGTGTTGAGCGAGGGAGGAATAAAGTCCACGTGAAGAATTTGGAAGATGAGGCATCGGTTGCCGATGCAGAGTTGAAGTATGGCGACGGGGTGGTCTTCGCTTGGAGATATATTTGGCAGCCACTCGGTATCAAGACCTATTAAAAGATTCTTCGAGAAATCGATGTGAATATTGAATATCGAAGAAATCCATTCACTTACTTGTTTGGCCTTTTTTGCTACTGTTACGTAGATGCATTCGTTGTAAAAAGTGATCGAGAAAAGGTTCGGGCGAGCCTCGGTAGTAGACATGGCATGAAAGTTAAGTTAATAGAGAAATTGATGAAGTTTGGAGAGGAATTATTAGTATAAAAATTCAATCTTGAAGTTTGAAGAGAAGATGTGTGGGTACTATGTATATATATATATATATATATATATATATATAAGGACCGGAAAAAGTATTCAGAAGGAAACATAGTTATAATCTAATAATTAAAAAAATTATAAAGTTGAGTTCTAGTATAATTTGGAATACAAAAAAAGGAAAGCATCACATACTACAACTTTTTTTAACGCGAAGGTGTCATTGTTAATTATAAATTATAATAAAATAATTAACATTAAATTATTTATTTACTATATGGTTCTTTCAATTATTTTTCGAAAATTAAATTATTACAATATTAATAATATTTTATATATTATCTTATAAGTGACTAAAAATAACTTTATGCTGATTTCACACTTATAATATTAATAATATTTTATATTATAAGTGACAAAAAATAATTTTATGCCGATTTCAATCCGAATTTACGATTTTGAAACAAGTTTTTCATTGAATTTACAATTCCAATTTTTGATTTTTCCAAATTTCATGCATCACCAAAATTTATTAGTGTCTTTATTATTAATATTTTATATTTAAACAAATTATGCAAAGTTAAAATTCTATGTATCGACCGGCGGCGAGACAGCTGCTACCGGCGTTACGCCGGCGCACTGGTCACTTTCAAAGCGAAGGCTCTCCAGTCGGTTGCTCCGCCCCAATCGTACCTCCGGCGTCGTTTTTGGTGACCGCTGCTTCCGAAAACGCTCGAAATCATAAACCTAATAGTTTCGAATCAGCCAATCATCAATCATCATCAACATCATCAGGCGAAGGTCGGAACCCTAGATTCACCGCCGGCGCCAAAGCTCTGTGGCAGGAAGAACAGGCTAGTGTTCTTCAGGCGTCCCTCCGCCACGTGGTCCGCTCTCACTACCAAATATTCAATTTTATATAAAAAAATTTTCTCTGTTGTTCATTGCGTAATTGAATTCATAGGTTTGTAAATTCTGAATGTGGAAGCATGCTTAGTTCTTTATCCAGTACGGTGATAATTGGCAATGTGGATTTATAATTTTCAGATTTCGATTGGGCAAAAACTATATCTAATTAGATGGACCAATTTTAGGTCAAATTTTGCGACCTCATTATTTGATTTTGCTCAAGTTATTATTGCTGATAATTTGATAATTATTCGTATTTGAGTTCGATATATGCATCGCATGATCACAGCGGAGGTGACTTACGGCTTGGTTGGATGATTTGTGGAATTTAAATTAGACAGATTAGATTGAGGTGGAGCGATGCCGCCATGATCGCCGGAGCAAAGGAGGTTGGTGTTTCTCCTTCCATTGCAGGATATTTTTCTCGGAAATAAGCTCAAGAGGTATAATTTTCATCTCTGCACTTCTTATATTGTTTTATATATAGAGAGAGAGAGAGAGAGATATATATATATATATATATATATATATATATGAGAGAGAGAGAGAGAGAGAGAGAGAGAGAGAGTTCCATGGCTGATTTCTTGATTCATAATTCTTATATTTATGTATGAAACTGAGAGTTGGTACAATGCCATCATCAATTTGCAACACGTCGGTCTATATTTGGATTCTAAATGTTAGCCCCTTTCCTGATTATGACAGCGTTCGATTTTACGTTTATATGCGTTGTTTCTCTCTCTTCTCTTTCGGACAGGAATTATCACAATGTGCATTAAATATACCTAACAATGCAAATTGACAAATTCTACTAGTTCTGGTGTTCTCCCTGGTTTTCCTGAAATCTTTTCCCGAGATGCTTTTGTGCCATTAATTTGTCGTATACGAATGCTTTTGTTTAGCATATTTTTATTTTAGCTTTTATACGCCACTTGTGACGAGGATTTCGTAATGATCGTTCACTCAGTTCTAAATTTTTTGGTTCAGTTTTTTCATGGATGATTGTCTGGCAAAAGTTAATTGACACGAAAGAGGATTTGAAAAACGTAAGTCCTAGTCACCGTGTGGCCAAGCTTGTTAGAATTCGCTTACAAAACGCGGGCTCCCTGCATCTCGAAGTGGCCTCAATCACTTAGCATACAGGTAACTTTTTATGAGTCATTCCATTGTTTTTGTTACTGTTTAATAAAATTTACAGAATGCAATAAGATTAGGGGTGTAAGTCGGAAGGATAACATAAAAACTAATTAGCACATTCCGAAAAATAAACAAATTAATTTTTAAGTGAAAATCTAATCTCAATTATGTTCCAAAACAGTTTTGAAAAATCGAAAATCAAAATTTCGTTGTTGGTATGAATTTTTTTTTGTTCCAAAATAGAAAATTTCGGATCAGAATCGGCATAGTTCACAATGTTTATTTTCTTAGTCACCTAACATATTATACTATTGTACAGAGTACTTTTAGAAATAAATCAGAATTTTTGAAAATATTTTCGGAAAATGAAAATTGAATTGGAAATCGGAATCTAATATGTATTCCAATCCATTCTAAACAAAATTGAAATAATCAGAAATCAGAACGTTCGGGATTTGAAATGGAAGTATTGTTCCAAAATAAAAAATATTCAGATCAGAATCAACGAAATTAGGATATTTCATTTAATTTCCACTCGTAAATAAGGGTCATTTTAATCGACGATCTCATACTTTAATTGAGTTAGTATGGAACGTCTAACACCATATATCAAACATTGTCTACCAATCATCATAAAACTCGTTCAATTTACAAATGAAATATCACAACAACAACACTATATTGATATTACATCCTATTTACACTAATCAAAATAACTTCACCCACTTTTTTTGCCATCTATTTTCTACGTTCTAACATCACAATAAATCAATAATCACATAATTCAATCACCAATATCTAAAACCAACCACTCAAACATCCAAATCATCAAAATCGATTCACAATCTAGCGTAATATAATAGTTTCGTTAGGGAAAATGACATTCGGATTCCTAATATGCGGATTAAGCTCCGCCAATTCCTTCCATTTATCACCCGCCCCGTAAACACGAGAAGATATACTCCACAACGTCTCACCAGGCTGTACCGTTGTAGTCAAAGCGGGGCCCGTAGGCTTGTCGATGGGGTTTGACTTCATTAACGGATGCTTATTCTTCTTCCCCATTCCGCTAGCCAGTAGCCAACGGGACCCACTTTGCTGCTGATTCTTCGAACCCCATGACTTCTTTCTCCCCTGCTCCGTTTTCAGACCAGCAACATGTACCTCCGTAATTTTATATTGAGGAATCTTTTCTTCTTCCTCATGAATAACCTCTTCTTCTTTTGTCTTTTCAAGAATTGTGTTTTTTTTGGGACACTCGGAATTTCCCGCAAGAGAAAGCGTACCGTAAATTTTCGGTTTTGGCGGAAAAAAGACTCTCTCAACTTGAACGAGAGCAAGCATCGGTGTGCCAACTGGCTCATAGTCCCTTAACGGGTCCCGCAGCTGCACCATCAAAGCAACGGTGAAATTATTACCCAACAAACCGTACTTTTTACTCTTTCCTCGTCTTTCGCCCGCCTTTGACCTTCCTCGAAATTGGTCTAGTGAGGTGGCGTGATGGGCTGCCAGTATTTTCGAGGTTCTTTCACTAACGAGATCACCGTCTCCGAATTCGCCAGAATCAATTTTCATCCATTCGTTGAGTGTTAGAGACAACCCCATCAATCCGTCAACATCTTCACCGTTATCTTTAACATCCATTAGTTGCAGTCCACAAGTCCCGTCGAGGCATAGGGAGTGGGACCCACCAGCATCGACTGTTTTGCCCTTGAGAACAGATAATTCGTCGATAGATTGTGCGCTAATATTCGAAGGGGCATCGTCATCCGACATACCAGATTGTATTCTCAAGCCCTCAATCGAGAGGGCTTCGATTTTGTCCATTGCTAAAGGAGCAAGATCTTCCAAAGACACGTATTCTGTGTTGCTATTACTGCGCGAGCTCGAATCGAACTTTTGCATAATTATAGGTTCCTGCTGCAATAAATCTTGCCTGAAATTTATTGAAAAAAAAACAAGGTAACCGATTTGCAATATTTCAAGAAAACATAATACACGAAAAAGTGTGTAGCTACAACCAACCTCTCTAGTCCCTCTAAACTCAAGGCGCTATCCCGCGTGAATTGTTGGATTGGTTTCCCAGTTATATCTTCTAACGGCATTAATTTATTAGCCTGCATCGAGAGCTTCTCAATTCCAACAGAAGCCAAACAACGAAGTACGTTCATTACACCGGAGCCCATTTCAGCAGGCACCACCACCGGATTAGACACCTGCATAATTACGCTCCCGCCATTCTTAGAATTCAAGAAAAGTGCAGGATTCATAGACCTCAAAAATCCACCGTTTCTAGTCTGCACAAAGGGGCCCACGCCTTCAGCAAGTGGAGGAAGTTGCAGAGCATCTTCGGGAAACATATCAATCGAACCACCGAACCCATCGGAGCCTCTAGTTGGAGAATCTTGAAATGCCGACTCGTCAAAACCCAACTCGTGCATCAAAGCTTCGTTTTCCAAATCCTCCATTATCGAAGCCCTCGTCTTAGTGTTGAATGCATCGGTGGTTGTAGTGTCTTCAGCAAGTTCGGGTTGGTCATAGTCGATATCGAAGTTGAGTAAACCTTTATTATTGGCAAGAGCATCCTTTTCGAATTGCTTGTATAGGAGCACTCTTGGAGAATTGGGCTCACTTTCGGAACTCGAGCTAAACGGACAATGCTCTAACATCTCCAAGAAATCAATTTCCACCGAGTCGGTAACATCTTCCGAGATAATCGATTTTCCCTTTCCATGATATCTGTCGTGAGAATCAACATCCAAAGCATCAGAATCATCCTCCTGAAAATCGAATTCTTCGTTCACCAAATCTACCGTACAACTCAACGCGACCTCTAGTTCTCTCATTAGTGATTCTTTGGAGCACATATCATCTTCTCCTTCTTCACAAGGTACAACTTC